GTGTGTGTGAACGGTTCAATGCGAGAGGTTCCCTAGCAGTACTTCAAGCTGAGGGGCGGGGCACCAGATGCAGCGACAGCCAAGTATCGCCCACAAGGCAGCAGGCGCACACCTTCGTACTGCTGGTACAAGACGCACTGGCCAGAAATGAGCGCTGGGCTCAACTGACCGGCAGGGGCGAAGAGCAAGTTCTCGGGCCCGCTGTGCTCCTTAGCAACGTGGTAGCCCACCCTTGCCAAGGAGGCGGGAACCCGCTTTCCATTTCGAAGGCTCACTGGCGAGGCAGCCGCCAGAGCAAAATCGTGAGGTTCGAGAGGCCTCTGCAAGACATGCCGGCACACGCGCAGAAGCTCAGCTAGAGCTGCTTCCTCTGTCGGCCAGTCGCAGCGAGCTGATAGATCTTCCAGGGCACTCTGCATGCCTGGTAGTTGTGGGAACTTCACTTGCCACTGCGGCGCATCTGTTCCGTTTTTTCGTTTCCTCCCTTTCGGGTGTACATAGTAGTAGTGCCTCTGAGCCATGGTGGCTTTGAGCCAACTTTTCGAGCATGTGGACAATAAGCTGAAAACCTGTCGCTCTTGAGGTGACCTCAGGAGACATCAAAATTTCAATCATGTAGGTTTCTGACAGTACGTGGCCAATTACTGGCCGCCCTCCTCCCCCACCTCAACGGCAAAACGTTGAGGACCCCTCAGCAGCCACTACTCTCTTAGTCTTCGAAAGTTACCACTTGTCTTGACACACAGGGCTGGGGTGGATTCCATTCCAAAGAAAGCAACCCATGCAGTTGATTGTGAGCCAATTCCGCTCCAACTTTGAATCATTTCCCGGCGCGGCACAGCCCAGCCTCGCCATCCAACCCAGGCCTTGGGCACGGGTGTGCTAAGCTGGCAAAGCTTAATTTTTGGGGGACTCAGTCTAGGCACGTTTGCTGGAAGGGCATTGATATCAGGCAGGGGTGTGTGTGTGTGTGTGAGTGGGGGCGCATGCGTCTGGATAAAAAGCGAGGGGATTCATTTCCCGCCCCACGCAATTCAATTCCCCGTTTTGTTCAAGGGCATGGGGAACTGAACTGCTATGGAGCTGGTCCACATCATGCTTGCTGGGGATTCACTTCCCCGCCAGCCCCCTTTTTCAGTGCAAACTGGATGCTTGAGGATTCAATTCCCCGCCAGGTCCCGTCCCTCCAAGTCTGTGGGGAATTGAACTGTGCACAAGATGGTTCAATTCCCCACCACCACCTCCCCTCCAGAGCCGCCAGGTCCCCCCCCCCTTACATGGGGAATTGAACTGCCCCACAAAATGATTCAATTCCCCGCCTGCCCCCCCCCCCCAAGTGTGTGGGGAATTGACCTGCTCCAAGCAGCGCAAACACTCCTTCACTCCCAAGTTCCCCACCCCTCCAGACCTCATTTTATTCACCAAACCCCTTCCCCTAAAAGTGCGTGGGAACTGAAATGATCCTAGGGCCACCAAGCCCCTCTTTCCGCCGAGCAACCGTCCACTTGTCTCCAGCCTGAACAGGCTGCTGCTCCAGCCACGCAAAGTCCATTCCAGCTCTGGGGCCTCATATTTGAACAGGGCTGTCGGGCGACAAATCCAACTGGTCGAGCAAGGAACCGAGCACTTTGGTGGCAGGGGGGAATTGAAACTTGGGGAGCTGTGGCTCCTGTAAAGCAGCTTGGGGGGGGGGGGGGTGGTAGAGAATTGGACCCCCAAACAGCATTTGAAACAGTGCAGTTTCCGACGCACTTCTGAAAAATTGGTGGCAAAAAGACAAGTCCCCACAGGGCATGTCTGGGGGGGCTGTTCAGTTTGGGGGCGGGCTTCAATGGGGAATTGTGGAATTGGAGCAGTTCAAGTGCTGTAGGAGGGGCTTGGCAGGGCGAGGGGCTGGGAACTGAATCCTCAAGGAGTTTGATTTGGCTCACCCACACAGCGGGGGGGGGGGGCTGAATCCTCAGACCCCCGAGGCCATGTCGGGCGTAGTTTTGGGGGTCGGGCGCGGTGTCGGGCGCGGCGTCGGGCGCGTCGGGCGCAGCGTCGGGCGCGTCGTCGGGCGCGTCGTCGGGCGCGTCGTCGGGCGCGTCGGGTACGGAGTCGGGTGCGAGGAGTCGGTGAGGCGTGTCGCGTCGCTCTCTGCATTCCCCCTCGGGCCCCGAGCAGCGGTCGTGGGCGCCAATCCTGGCGGGCGCGGCAACATCACCATCAACACACTGGACTGAGGTCTCAGGAGCTACAGGATCAGTTCAAAGTTCAAAGCGCGACCCACTCTCCAAGACTAACAAGGCTGCTGACTGTTCCCAAAAACACATCCGACTCTACGCCACTTTTTTTTGCTCAGTGGCTGCTGGTCCCCAGATCCCCAAGTCCCCAGGTCCCCAGGCCCCACCGCTCACTTGTTTGAATGTGCAAATGACACAAAAATGGTGTACAATTTGTGGTGGCACCCGAGTCCCCAGGTCCCCAGGTCACTGGTGCTCCCGTTGGATCAGCTGGATCCAGCGCTGGGCAGTGCCAGTGGAGTAGGCCCTCCAAACTTGGGCACAAGGACGGGCGTCTTGCACCATCCTGGCAGCTTCGTCAAACTGATAGCCCAGCCCCACCATCAGGGCCACTGCAGCTGCTAGGGCAGAGCGATGCCTGCCCTTGCGACAGTGGAAGAGCACCCGTGGCCAGCCCTGACTGCCTCGTTGACCGCAGGGCGAACGCGCTGGTCGAAGGCCGATTTGGCCTGCGGGGCATACCCGATGTTCCACCTCAAGTTGTGCTGAGTTTCCGTCATTTAGTGCTGTTTAAAGACAGAAGCCACGTCACAGAACATATGGACTTGAGAAGCCAAGGCTCTGGATGTAGCGGAGATCTGCCACTGTTGGCGGATCGTAAGGCATGCGGTCGAGGCACACCACGACGAGGCGCACACCGTGCCGCCGAAGCTCGGGCAAGTCTGTGCCACTGCTCAGCCCGCCCACGAAGAAGCGGGCGCCATTCTGCTGACTCCAGACAACTGATGGCAGGACCTGCGCGGAGCGGTGTCATGACCCATGAGTGCAAGTACCAGTCCTCTCAAACTGCTAACGATGTTTTGTCTTCCCTGCGCCTCATCTCCAGACCCTCCTGCCCACTCGTCAAAGTGTGGGTTGGAATCCTGCTGGCCCTCCTGCTCGCCGTCCTGCTGGCCCTCCTGCTTGCCCTCCTTGCCCTCCTGGTCCTCTTCATCGACCACCGTGACGGCTGCAGGCCCGGCAGCTGAGGCCTCCTCAGCTGCATCGGCTGCTGAGGTTCCTGGTCCGAGCGCTGAGGTCCCCTCAGCGGCCCCCTCCGCAGCAGTGTCAGCCTGGACAGGACGGCGCACACCAGCAGCTGACAGAACTAGAATGGAAAGCATGAGGTGGTTGAAGAGTTGCGGATGCTGGGCCAAGGTTAGAGTTGCCTAAAACATGAAGTGGTATGAAAAAATGCACGACTGGCTGCGATGCCGAGCCACCTGGCGGTGGTCGGCGGGCATTGCGGCGTAGCTGAGCTGGCCGTCGGGCTGCAAGTCCGCGCCGGGCCCTCTCGTTGTTGATCTCCTGGATGCGCTGCGCAGACAAGACAGGATCCTGGCTGCGAGGACGGCCTCGAACAGGACTGCGAGGACGGCCTCGACCAGGACTGCGAGGACGGCCTCGATCAGGACTGCGAGGACGGCCTCGGTCAGGACTGCGAGGACGGCCTCGGTCAGGACTTCGGCGTCCAGCAGGACTGCGAGCGCGGCCGCGAGGGCTGCGGAACCGAGGGGGCGTCGCTGGGGAGCGGGGGCGTCTGTGATGGTGTCGGGGTGACGGGGATCGCCTCCTCAACTGAAACCAAAGGCCCCGAAGTTGACAAGGGGAATGTGAAGTTCGATCTCTAAAAGATTCTAAAAGTAAAAAGAAAACTGGGAACTTTGTCCTGCGCCGTGATCGGCTGCGTGAGTCACGATCTAACCCCAGAGCATGCCACAGCTCCACGAAGAGGCGAGCGCGGCCAGACGACATCGCCAGGTCCCCACTAGTCCCCAGCTCCCGAGCGCTGAGCCAGACTCATGGCACGCATAAAGCTTCCTGTAGCAACTAATAAGCAAATCCCCACCCAACCCAAACAGCCCCTTCCTCCCCCGTCTGCTGTTGCTGTTGGGCCATCTCCACTAGTAACGGGCTTTTTCTAGGTTTTGACTGGGCCGACGCACTCTGCAAACGACCAACCCTCTCCCTGTCAAATCGCGCCAGGCGCACCGGTGCACCGAGACCAGGATGATGAAGCTCTGAGATGATGGCCATCCACATCTTTCAGCGCGAAGGGCCGGCGCAAAAAATGAGATTAATTAGTTACACCTGCATCTTCCGCGTGCCTGTGTTTCCAGAAAATGATGTCAGCGGAAGCCCTGATACGGCACGAGTTGGCTCATGTTATCCCAAAAGAGCGGAGAAATGGGTTTGCGGACGCACGCCACAACATGTTCCAGCTGCGTGTTTTTCCCACTAGTGCCTAGTTGAGCGTTTTGTGGGTGATTTTGCGTGAGACAGAAAAAATACTGCATCTAAACAAAGTGCGTGTTTGCTGAATCTAGCTGCCCCCTAAAACAATTAAGAGCCCCACGAGCGAGTCCCCATCAATCTATATACTGAGGGTCAGGCTAGGGGGGGGGGCAAGTAAATCCAACCCTCCAACGTTCTGTGGGGAACTGAATCCTGATGGCTGGAGAGTCCCCAATCCCAAGCTCAAGCCACCGCCGACTCCTGCCAGGACCCGCTTGCCAGGCATTGAACCAGTGAGGTGGTCTCCCCGAGCAGTCAATTCCCCCTCACACAGGTGCGAGTCAGAGTAATCCAAGAGCCACCAATGGAATCTAAGTTGTGTTTTCCTGAATCTTAGTTGCGATTGTTGGAGCTTAAATGCTAGTTAGGCTGACAGCGTAGGTCACAACTCTATGGGGGCTCCAGAAAAACCCAACCTGCCCTGGATGGCCTTCACACCAGGATCAAAGCCCAGATGAACCTCCAGGACAAGCAGCTGGGGGTGCGGGGCTGGCGCCAAGCAAGCAAGGATGTTCGAACATCCGGGATCGCTTTGAACTGATTTGGCCATGAATTGCAAGAGTTGGAGCCACCTCAAACGTGGTTGGTGGACCTTTTTACACCGAAAATTGATGTCCACCGAATTTGCCTGGGACCATGAACATTCACTCCCATTGGACATTTTCAGGCTCACGATGGACCAGAAAAGTCTAGGCGCTTCATTGGGATACCAAAAGGGAACGGCGAAGCGGAACAGATGCCATGTGGAGTGAACCAACCATGGACACCTCCGCAACAAATCCAGGGGGGCTATGGCTGGGCACTAAAATGGACGAAGGCTTTGCAGTGACTCCCAAGATCATTGGTTTCCTTTTGGTTTCCCCAGGCCGGTTAGTTTCCATGTTGAGCCAACATAGGACCCCCAAACTCGCGGCGTTCCTTTTGTTATGCCTTTAAGCCGACATGAAAGGATGGCCCTTTGCCTGAGCGTGGTTACATGAAGGCAACGCCTGTATAAACCTTAGCCATCCAACCATCTCTTTACCAACAGTCAATGGGCGAATTGGAGCTCACCTGGACGTTTTGTCAAACTTGAGGACCCCGAGATGTGTTGAGCTTGTGGTTTTCTGGAAACACACGCCTTTCTTTACATTTTCCTCCCCAACAGCTGCAAGCTATGGGGGCGATAGGCCCAGAGAAGGTTTGGCGGCTCCGGGCCAAAATTTCGGAAGCGTTGCCATTTGGGATACCTTTGTTTCAAGATTGGTTTGGGACAAACGCATCCGCACCTTCTTCAGACAAATGTTCCATGGGTCTGGAAACCGACTTCCGCTTTTGTTTGGAGGGGACCCACCCCAAGCCGACCAAAAAACAAATTCCTTTTCTTGGGGGACCCTCCCCAAGCCGACCGAAAAGCACATCGACGGAAATTTCCGCTTTCGCTTTTTCAGACCTTCGAAGGAGGCTCTGATGCTGGAGCGCGAGGGCCGGCCCGGCAGCCGACGCCTCGGACGAAGACATTTTTCTTGCTGGTACCAGGGAATGAGTTGGAATGGACCCTTTTCTTCCATTTGCTGAAATGAGTACTTTTTATTTTCCACTGTTGGTTTTAGAGGGAATCTATCACTGCTGGAAATATGTTATTTTTTTCCAGGGTTTGTAAGCAAATGCAAGTTTTGGGATTCCCTTAAAGGAAGCCACCAGTTGGACTGCTGAGCACCAGCAAGTGTTTACACAATCCAACTGGTGGTTTCCTTAAACTAAAACCATCCCCTTCTAGAATACCTTGCCAGTTCGATAAGGGAATAAGAAATGGAATGACCCGAACAACACCATCTCTCTTGTGGCTTCCTGTAAGGGAATCCCCTTCCTATTCCTTCCAAGACCCGGAAGGTCATTCCGTACTGAGCACCGGCAAGATCAGGAATGTTGACCTCTGATGAATACCCACCCCCCACCCAGCTATCAATCAGGGGGGTCTCTTTCTATTATGGTTTCCTTTCGTCCTGGCGGACACTTCTGATTCAGCACTGGGGGCTCAGGGGGCAACCTTGTGACTGTGTGGTCCTTTGCTTTCCCTTTAAACCCTCTTGAAAAGCGCACCCCCAACAGCAAAACACTTATATTTGAGTGTTTCTCAAACCACGCATGTTCGTTCTGATATTTAAAGGGACACCAAGAGGAAGCACTAGGTACTCGCCATGTCGGCCACTATTTTCAGCACATTCCCCAACTGCGGGCCTTACGGATCGAAAGGTGGGTGGATCGCATGGGCGGATTTTTTTTGGTAGGCGTTTGATTCTTGCCTTCGGAGCCTTGGAACTGACGAGGGGTGCATAGTAGAATGCTCCCACTTTTTTGGAAGACTTGGTGCCCCAGTTACGGAGGCCGCCATTGGTGAAGCTTCCGGCTAGTGTGAGTGGTGTCATCCCCTTGCCAGCTGGAATTCTGCGCCATTTACGAACTCAGCCGGGTGTAAAATGTCGAGCAGCCTTGGTCCGAAGCTCGGCCTTCACGACTGAGAAGGTTCTCTCCACCCCCGCCACTCACCCCACGCCGCAGGTTCCGACCGTGGCACTCTTGGCCCAACAGTTTTCCCTCAAAGAAGGGGCAGGAGCTAGCACCAGGCAGGAATAGCGCGCACAGGATGGCAGCCGTGGCCAAAAACCCCGCGACTGGGCCAAAAGTCAGCTTTCATGTGTGAGGGGTCCTGGAAGACCAGGTTCCTTTAAAAGGGACCCTTTGGTGGGTTCCATGTTCATAGGAGAGTATCACCTTAAAAGAAGCCCAAAGACGCTGGCAAGGCAAAGACGCGCCGAAGCGTGACCTTTGCGGATGACAGCAGTCCTCTCTCCCGCAACTGCTCCGAGAAGGAGCAGTTGATGATGCGACTTGGTCCCTGATCGCATCTTTTTGGTGGATGGTTCTTGTTGATGATGATGATGATGATGATGATGACGAGTATTGCCATTGTTAGTGGGTTAGGGGCTCACTTTCCGTGCAAATGGCATCAAGGCAAACGCATGCAGCGGTCGCAAGGGCATCCAGGCAGCGGAACTCAGAGATCATCGGGCCTTTCGCCGCAGAGTGTCAAAAGAGGCTGGAAAGTCTAGGCGGCTGGGAGAGTCACGGAATCCAGTTGAAGCCAGAGGCAAGCGAAGAAATCCAAGTGGATCGGTTTCTCCTGGCAGACAGCAGAAGCCAGTTTCTCGTGACCGTCTTGGATGGCGTCCTTCCCGCGGAGATGTGCCAGTCCTTCATCGATATTCACGAGCAGGTGGGCTTTGCTACACCTCCCTCGGCGCTTCTTTACATGGCGGAGCAGTCGAAGTCACAGATGCAGGAATATGAAGAAGCACATGAAGCAGGTCCAGCACATGAAGATGACGATGGCGGCGTGCTCAGACAGTTGGTCTACGAGCAAGGCAAGAATACCTCAGAGCTGGTCCATATCGAGTCGCCGGAATTTGCAGACTACCTCTGGGAGAGAGTCCAGCATCATCTTCCCAACCAGCAGTGGTACGCTGGAAACTTCACGAGCGGCGTCTATGAGAAGTGCGGGATCATTCCGACCTTTCGCTTCATGAGATACCAGAAGGGCCAAGGCTTCAAGCCGCACAGGGATCCATCACGCATCTATGCGGAAGACCCGCTCAGGTCCAGTTCTCAGGGCGAGCTAGGCATCTACAAGAGCTTCTTTACGAGACTAGCTCTAGATCATTGCCAACCGTTGCACATGCCATAGTCATGGTTGTTGTTGGGAAACATTTTGACATTTTTGCTTATTGTGGTTTAGTGGTTGAAATCCAACCACTCAACTGCGAAAATTGTTTTTTTTGCTCTCCTTCCAACGTCAACCAAGTATTGTTTCAACAAAGCATCACAAGAAGCTTCATGTGCAGTCGGTGGTTGCGTGACACGACACATTTTCATACAAAATAGGTGGTTGGTTTCGTTTAATAGATTGTTGTGACACATTTGTTTGCTTTTGCGCCATAGGAAACACGTTTGTTTGCTTCTGGTTATATGAAAACTCCCGAGAACGACCCAGGATTGCCATATACTTGAACGACTCTGCGGACTTTCAAGGCGGCGAGCTGAATTTCGTGAAGCTAGAGGTGGACTCCGCTGGCAGGACGTATCACCAGTCCCAAGCTACGGTCAGTCCTGCCGTGGGCCGCTGCGCTTTGCTCCATGTCCGAAAACAATATCCAAGCATTTTCAAGCATGTCGAAGCTTCTTGCTCATGCCTGTGTTTGTTTGTTGATTATATCATATTTGTGTTGGCCATTGTTTTCAAGGTCCCGTTAGTTCCCAGTGCATTGGATGGCTTGGAAAGAATGATCCCAGAAAGAACGGCGGAAGTTACTTCACTGTTGTTGGCATTACTTTGTTTGTTGCTTGTTTGGTTATGTTTTTTTGCTTGGTTGTGTTTGTTTGCTACGTGGCAAAGGTTACGTCTGATTCTTTCCTTCTTTTTCTGTCCCCTTTCCCTCTGAATCTTCTTGTGTCCAGAGAAGTCAGGTTCAGTCACTTTGAGCTTCATGAAGGAGGCGGCGTGCACTCCGGGACCAAGTACATGTGCCAGTGTGATGTCCTCTACAAGCGAGTGGCAGCTCTTCCGTGAGTGAAGTCTATGTGCGAGAGCGGATTCCAAGCATTTTCACGCCTCAAGTTTGTCCCTCACCTTAGGATTCCTTAGACAAAGACACACCCAGCCATCCACTCCATTTCTGAACCAGGCTTGGGCTCCCTGGGGCATCGCAGTGCGCAGTGACACATGCAGGTGACCAGCTCTGCGCACGGGATGAGGAACCTTTCACTTGGTCAGGTTCCTTCGCAGCAGATCCCTCGAGTTGCAGGGGCGTACCGTAGCTCCTTGTACAGATCTTTGCAGCTTCGGTGATGCTGGCACGTGATACAGAACGTGCTTTTGCCCGAGTATATTCAGGACATGCTGGGTATATTCTTGAGAATCTCAAGAAGTCTATTCTTTTGGCTGTTGCCAATCGTCCAAAAGGTCCAACTTGTTTCAGCATCTCCCCTCTTCAGGGCGAACGCACTCTGGCTGATTCTTCCCCCTCGCTAAGTGGGTCCAGGCGTCAGGCCACTCTGCTTGATTTTTGCCAGAATTCGCTTGTGGGTCGATGTCTCAAAATGAGAGATGGAACACTAGAATGTTGAGCGTTCCTTTATGTCTTACCAAGTGCGGGTTGAGGTATAGCAAGTCTGATGATTTTGGTTGAAGCTCCCGGGCTTTTGTGTTTCTTTGTGGTTTTAAAAAGAAGCCAAAAGGAACACCACTCATTTTGGGGTCTCGCCAACAAAAACCGAAGGGATAGTGTCATCAATCCTTCAGGATTCTTCTCAGACGTACATCCATTCAGGAAGCCGTGGCCAATAAATCATGTTGCCACTAATATGGTTGGTGTACCCTTTCGGAGTGGTTTCAAGTAGCAAAACAAGTTTGTCGGCCCCTTACTTAAATATTGAAGAGACATCCCATATAGTATGTTTGTTCCGATGTTCAGAAGGCACTGCTTGTCTCAGCCAAAGCTTGGAGAACCTAAGGGCCCAAGTGCATTCTAAGGTGATCTGGTGTATGGCGCCACATATGGCATGCATTCTAAGGTAATCTGATGTATCGCGTCACATATAGCAATGACCCAGAAAGTGTGGATCGAGTTTTCTCCGGGAAACCGAACTTCTTTTTTTTGGCTGCACCTGGTTCAGCGTGAGTTGCAAGGCGGGCGCTTTGTATCAGGTGCTTCAGATGCTTCTGGCGTCTTTCAGGCACGGATGCGCATGCGAATCGCCTCGCATCCGGAGCCTCACGAGATGGGCATTGCTGGTTTTCAGCAGAGGAGGGAATGACGTTTAAACCATCCCTCCTATGGCGTAATGTCAAGTGTCGAGTTGTCCGGTGAGTGTCTAAAAGGCGTAAGGGACAGCAAGACGAGGAGGCTGAACCTGGTGGTTGGCCCCAAAGTCCTAGTCGCTGGGTTGGCCGGTTCTTCGGATCGGAAGGGCCGTCGCAAGGACTCAGATTGGATGGCAAACCTAAGTCCCCCAGTGCCCTTCTCTACCGTTTCTTTTTTTTTGGGGGAGTGTTCCATACTAAAATAGACGAACCAGAAAAAAGTTGGTACCATCTTATTCTAACCTCTCAAATCTGGAGGACCTAGCAAGCAGTTTCTGGATGCTGGGAATCGGACACGTTTCATTCGCCTTGAATGTTGAGCCAAGCGCTGCTTGGAGGGTCCAGGAAACTGATGCAGAGGGACAGGGCCTCGAACTTCCTGCTTGTTTATCTTGTTTTGCTTGGGATGTGTGTCCACAAGCGTGGGCCACGTGCCCTTTGTTCCGTTGGCTTCATCTAGAACCAAAGGGAAACGTCACCCCAAAGGGTCCAAGTCCCTATTTGGACACCGCTCATCGAGGGTTCGCATCCCTGTCGCTTTGTTAGATCCCGACTCAAAGAGCGGAGCCCGGGCTTTGCCATGTCTATTTCTTTGGCATCAACCGTTCTTCTTGCCGGTGCTCAGTACGGAATGTGGGACTGAACACGGAAGGGTTCATTCCCTTAAAGGAAACCACAAGGGATTTATAAGGGTCATTCCATTTCTCATTCCCTGCTGATCACCAAGTTCCCTGAACACCAGCAAGTCTTATTTCCGCAAAATTCAAATTTGGAAAACAAGAACTGAAGTGATTGGCCAAACCTTCATAAGGCTCCTTAGAAGATACATGTTGCCACCATTTACAACATGGCTTTTTCCACCAAAGTGAACGCAAACCACCATTTACGTGTATAATGTAAGGATCCCTGCTTCATAGGATCCACTATCCGATATGCCCCGCCTTCCCTTGTGAAAACAAGCACAAGAACCCAGTAAACACTTCATTGAGGCCGTTTGTGGAGACCAGGAGATTTGGAAGTAGCCAAGCCATTGTCTGTATGATTTGCATGACGAAGTTCGGTCTTAAGTGCCAGGACTACAACACCGGCGAGCTTCTACTGCTGTGCAAAGAGGACGGCCTGAATTGTATTATCCATGGAGTGCCTAGTAGGAGTGCTGATCCCTGTAAGGAAACTACACACAACTTATTGCATGTGGCTAAGAATTTTAATAGGGAACCCCCTCCAAAGTGGTTGGTGGACATGGATCCCCACCTAAATGATGTCCACACCATATGTCTATAGCTATATTCGTATTTGTGCATGTACAAACAATATTTCAGTTGAACTTCGACCCGGCTGAGTTTGTTAAAATAAAACTTGGGGCCATCTGGCTACGGGTCAAAATTAAACCAGCAAAAACCGCAGGGTTTAGTCCATGTTTCCATCTAGGGTTCAATTTTGGGTACCTATTTCTGACCCACAGCCATCTCAAGTCAATCGGAAGACAACGATCCCAGTGCGTCACCTGCCGGTTGCAGCTGTGAGCCTCGGGGTGTCGGCAAGGAGAAGTGAGATGTCGATGGACAAAGAGTTCTTGAAGGTGGAAGGAAAGTCAGATGTTTTCAATATGCATCGCTGAAGGTCTTACGTGTAGTAAGGGTCTAGATGAGTGGTTGTAGCGAGATTGCTGGATGTGCAAACTCTGCATCATTGAGTTTCTTGCCGCGAGTGCTCAATGCCAGCAAGAAAAAGTGCACGGATTGAGAAAAGACGACCTGGATGACACAAGTTTTATTGCGGGTCTACTGTACGTAGGCCGTAGGCAAGCCGTTGCACCATGCATTGACGCTCCCCGATGTAGCTTTAGTATCGGTGCACCTGGGACTGAGTATGAGTTGCGCTTGTACATCTACTTGAACATTGCTCGGAGTCGCTTCAAAGCTGCACCTTGCTTACTGCTTTTGCAGCCTGGTTATGCTGCCTTCCAATTTTGATGGGGGGCGGTTGAAGCTGTAGTTGGTATATTTCTTTTAAACACAAAGTTATTTCAACGTGCCACTGATGAGTCCAACTCTGGTGATGTTGCGACTGGGAAAGGCCGATAGGTGTTTTGTGGGGTCTTCTGCATCAAGCCATTTACATCTATCAATTAATTGATAGAAAGCGACTGCGGCGAAGAACCGTCCGCGTGCGTCATGGAATTGTTTGCACTTGATGCCATGCTCTTGTGCAAAGCGTATGAGCACACCCACCTCATCCCTCCATTCTATTGCAGCACAGCCCCATTGGATTCTCTATTCCTAAACGAATGCAAGCTGGACTGGGCTATGTTCGGCTGGTGTGTTTTTCTGGGAACGGCAGGCAACTTAAGGAACACAGCACGTGGGAAGAACTCCCAAGTGCAGAAGGACTTGTACATAAAGACTGCTGCAAATCAGCTGAGCATTCTGGTGGTTCCCCCCCCTTTGTGTGAAACCCGTAAGATATTCTGGAGGGTCTGACCTGTTTGCAGATGTGAGACCTGACGCGCGCGCTTCACATGCATACCAATTTGATCAGTTTGGTTGAACATACCAAGGACTCCTAGGCACAAGGTGGTGCGACGCCATATCATATTTGCCTGGTGACCACAGTTACAACCCACAGGGACGTCTGATGAGGGAACGTAGGCTATGACAGGGCCTTACAATCAAGGAAGGTTTGTTCTCTTGCTGTTTCTGAGAGTTGTGAATGTAGGACACAGCAATTCACAGGAACCCCTTTTTCGACCCAAAAACATCCCTGGTGTATGGCAAGTATTGAATCCACGTGCCCTTGGAGGGGGCATCGCATGGGTTATGCCCAAGGTTGCGGGGGCTGGTACAGGGCGATGGTGTGTAGTATCCAAAAGGAACCCATTTCTTAGAACCCGATTTAGCCATTCAAAACCAAGGGGATATCCCATTTTGGGGTTTTCGGTGCACCACCCAATTCAGTCGGGATTTTAGTGGGGATTGGGATGTTCACTGGTACGATTTGGATTTTGACCCATGGCCATTTGAGCAATAGAAAGTCCCCTGTAAGCTGAAAAAAGTACTAGAGCACAGAAACTCGCCGGGGCGCTGCTAAAACCGAACCGACCCTGGGCCTTGAAAACGCCACCGATCGAAGTGGCACAACCCCGAAGCCCTTTCAGCCAGTCAACCACCCAAGCCACCTTGCTCCCAATGCCCGGAGCCACGCCCAATTTTCACTTCAGAAGAACGTAGGTCTCATCAAAAGTCGGTGGTTTGCCTTTGGTTTTCCACAAACCACCCCCAGCCCCCAGCCCCCAGACCATTTTCTTAACCCAGGAAAGTTCCATGTGGCACCTCCATCCCAACCAACTCTCCGCCCACCTCGGGCGGCGCTAAAACGAGGAGCTGCAGCGGTGCCTCTTCGACGTGTGCGCGGACCTGGGGCCAGTTGGCGCGGAGAGGGAGAGGGAAGCTCTGGAGATCCTCAGGCGCCGGGTTGGGATTTGTTTGTTGTTGAAGGCGAGAAATGTGGTTGGGGGGTGACTGGTGGGGTTGGTTTTTGTGTTTGGTTTGTGTTTGTATTTTGTTTGTATTTGGTTTGTGTTTGTATTTTGTTTGTGTTTGGTTTGTGTTTGTATTTGGTTTGTGTTTGTATTTGGTTTGTGTTTGGCTTGTGTTTGTGTTTAGGTTCGTATTTGGTTTCTGTTTGGTTTGGTTTGGATTAGTTTGTGTTTGGATTGGTTTGGTTTTTGTTTGGTTTGTGTTTGCGTTTGGTTTGTATTTGGTTTCTGTTTGGTTTGGTTTGGAGTAGTTTGTGTTTGGATTGGTTTGGTTTTTGTTTGGTTTGTGTTTGGTTTGCGTTTGGTTTGTGTTTGTATTTTGTTTGTGTTTGGTTTGTGTTTGTATTTGGTTTGTGTTTGGTTTGCGTTTGGTTCGTGTTTGTATTTTGTTTGTGTTTGGTTTGTGTTTGTATTTGGTTTGTGTTTGGTTTGTGTTTGGTTTGTGTTTGTGTTTAGGTTTGTATTTGGTTTCTGTTTGGTTTGGTTTGGATTAGTTTGTGTTTGGATTGGGTTGGTTTTTGTTTGGTTTGTGTTTGGTGTGTGTTTGTATTTTGTTTGTGTTTGGTTTGTGTTTAGATTGGTTTGTGTTTGGATTGGTTTGGTTTTTGTTTGGTTTGTGCTTGGTTTGTATTTAGATTGGTTTGTGTTTGGATTGGTTTGGTTTTTGTTTGGTTTGTGTGTTTGGTTTGTGCTTGGCTTGTGTTTGGATTGGGTTGGTTTGTGTTTGGTTTGGTTTGATTTGTGTTTGGATTGGTATGTGTTTGGTTTGCGCTTGTTTTTTGTATGGTGGGTGGGTGGGTGGGTGGGTAGGTAGGCGGGTGGGTGGGTGGGTGGCTGGGTGGCTGGGTGGGTGGGTGAGTCATGCAGCTGGGACTCCCATCTTGATATCACAGAAATGGCTGTTTGCAACCAAGTAGGACTGGTGAGCGAAGTTATGTGGCAGAGTCAAAACATCCAGTCCACAGTCAATTTGGCAGGGACTTGGGAGACATGGGACTCACAAATTGCCAACACGCGGACGATCCCCGCTTGAGAGTCCGATATTCGGCCAACTAGGATTAATTACCGGGAGTGTTTTCGGGTGTCCTTTCGGTCCGTTTTGGTTTGGTGGGTTCCCTTCTACAAACGGTCCTTTCCCCCCCCCCCCCCAAAACTCGCAACAAGTTGGTTCCGCTTGTCTATCTGCAGGTCCGCTGTCGATATTGATGGTGAATGATTGCTTTCATAGTCTGAACCTTTAGTTTGCTCCACTCAAAATAGGGCACCGACCCCCCAACCAAAAAAAGTGATGTTCCTTTTGGCTTCCTTTTTAACCAGCCCAAAAACGGGTACCCTCAAAAAACAACACGCCGAATTCTTTCTCCTTTGAAAAACTTTGGGGCATGAGTTTGTTTTTTCGAGGGTCACCTTTTTGGGGTGAAGCCCCCATGATAAAGCCGCTCATGGTGGTTCCCCCTATTTGACACATACCCCGGTCAGGACCTAGTAAACGATGCTTAACACCACCATGATATGGCTAGGGAAGTTGAGGCGTGTTGTCTTGGCTACAAGATGGGTGGCGCATTCCTTCTGGTTTCCCAAGGGTGTTTACCGTCCAAAAGGGACCGATCCGGGTGGCTCGTCTTTTGTGATGGTACCTTCTTTGAGAAATCACCCGGGAAACGCTCTCAAGCCACCAATCCAAGCCAGGTCCCTTTTTTGGGTTGATTTAGAGGGAAACCAACGGAAAACACTTTTTGGGTTTGGAGCATTCTAAACAAAAAAATGGTGACTTTTGTTGGCCCATGCACTCAGGAAGTGACCATTCTGGTTGTAAACAACGAGTTTGGTTGCTTGTTTTTTTGCCCATCACCCAACAGATTTGGAAGAAACATCCCATCAACTCCATGGGAAGTGAGTCAACATGGGTTCCGCTCGAGGGGTACCTTTCCCATTCTTTCCAGGAATCCGAATCTTTCCAGAAAACCCCCCAGAAACGGGAAAACGGATCCGGATTTTGAAAAGAACGATGGTTCAAAAGAATGGACACGGAATCCACCCCTAGATCCGCTGGATTTTTGTTCAACCCGCCTCGACCCCAAACCTCCGCTTTTTCGGCGATCGGAGGTCTTTGCTGGCCACGGCGGCGGACTTGGAGCGCCTGGGCGTGGTGCACGGCCGCATCCGCACGGAGAATGCTTGGCTGCAGACGCGGGGCGAGAAGCGCGAGGCGCGTTGGGGAGGAGGGGAGGGGGGGGGGGAAGGCTGATGCAGGGAAAATTGGGTGCTAGCAGGTCCAGCTCTCATGTTTTCGGTAGAACGGGAAAACACGTTTTGTTTGTGTTTTCAGGGGGGAGAAGGAGAGGAGCTGGTGGAGTGTTGGTGTTTTTGCTTTTTGTTGGGGGGCACAGGTTTTTTGGAGTTGGTTTAAGTTTAAGAGGAATTTGTGCTTTTTTGGCGTTGCTACCAACTGTTTGGGGTGGTTTGAGGGGAAGCCAAAAGGAAAAGGGCGGGGTGAGCGGGCTTTCTAGGTTTTTAGAGCTTGAGTCGCTTCTATTTGAACCACCTCCTATTGGCTGCTCAACCCTGCCAAACTCCATTGGATTAAGTTTGAAATAGACACGTTGAATGACGACTTGTTAGACAGTTTCGAGAAGAAATAACTGCCACCAGAATGGGGAAACACCTGCTTCAAAGGGCACAGCTCACACGTCGGAATTTGAATCAGCTTCAACATGATTCAAAACGGACGGATTTTTCTGCAGATATATATATATATATATATGTAATATTATATGTTCTGAGCACGCAGCAATGACTTGAACAGTGTTAACCTTTGCATCTGAGATTTACTTGGCTGTGGCTCATAAAGCCGGTACCAAAATGGCTTGCCCTGGTAAGTGGAAACATGGGTACCCAACATCTGCGGTTTGCCCCTCCTGTTTAATTTTGAGCCACAGCCATTGGGCGACCCACCCCACCCCACCCCACCCCACCCCACCCCACCCCACCCCACCCCACCCCACCCACATGGCAACGGTTCTGAGTAGTGATAGCTGAACAGAATCAGCTCCCGAATCAGAATTTCACATCTCTGGAGCTCTCTGGCCCTCAAACCGCTGATGTCAGCTGACAGGCGATGAAACACCTGCACAAGGTGCAAGCAAATGAAAGAAAACTCTGAGAAGCTCTGTTGCCCAGCGGGTTGATTCCTTTGTTTCCTTTTTTTTTGTTTTTCTTCTTTTGGATAAGGGTTCCAATTCCTTTAAGCTCAACCAACCAAAAAAGGGTGCCCTTTTTTTCCCATGGCCACTGGGCATCTGAGGAAACAATGCCCCCGGTCTCAGCTGGCATTCTCCCAAACATTTGCCGCGGAGGTTTTTTGTTGCGCCTGTCTTGGATTGGAGCTCTTGGACCCTGGAGAATTCCTTCTGCCTGTGCAGGTCTTGTGCATGTGGCTGTGGGTCAAAACCAATGGGATCCTGTTTTGCGGTAGGTGCACCACCCATTTTAGTCTTTTTTAGTGGGGATTGGGATGTTCACTGGGGGTACGGGATTTTGACCCATGGCCATGTGTTGCCAACACAAAATTGAACCAACACGGGGTGTTTGACACTAAGCATGCGAACATGCTTGCGTTTACAGCAGGACTTATCTCTACTTTTTGACATCCAACACAGTTTCCGTTGTCGAAGCGATCCATTATTTGCACTGCTTTTTGCAAATCCACACATGCAGATTAAAACCTAAACATGTACAGAAATAGGTCAATAGGTACAACTATAGATACGCGAAGAGCAACGTGATGAGTATACTATGTGTATGATGTTACCTGTGTGTATATATACATATATATATATATACACATACATACATGTACACGCACCTAGATACTCAAACACACACATTCTTGCCGGGACACTGGGAATCGATTTTGCTTGGTGATGAGTTTTAGACACCGAATCTATCGTGCCAGGCCAACTTTCTTGGTTGGTTGTCGAGGGGATGACGCTGACGCGCAATTTGCTCAACAGGAGTCCTGGGGTTTGTTGGATTGACTTGGTCAATGCCTACATGCCACTAAAATCTGGACCACTCATAGCGAGACACCAGAAAAGACGAGCTTGGGAAGGCCCCCCGGGAAAAGTCTTCGACGCTTTGCAGCTTGGGCGAAGGGGAAGCTCAACTTGGGGAGGACTTTGTGAACCTCCGAAGGTTCAACTTGGGGATTCCGATTTTGTCACACTGAGATGTGTGAATCTGAGTGATTTGCGCAGAACCCATTGGCAGCTCAAGCGGCAATTTCCATGGACACCAGGATCAACTTCAGGAAATGTGGATCCCAGACCTCACAGTGAACCGTTCGCTATTTTGCTTGTGGCTACAGGGTTCCCTTGGTCACCTACCGCCGCATCTCTCGATTCGAGGTGCTACTGTCGGACTTCGGCAGCGACGACTCAGGCGAGGCGCAACGAGTAAGGGCTGCCTCGCGAGGATTTACCGATGCGCAGGGAAGGAGTTGGAATGACCCCAAGACAAACCATCCAACTTGTGGAACCCCTTGAACGGGGACCAACTCCTGGGTTGATTGCCACATTAGCAGGGAATGAGCTGGAACCCCAAGACATCCAACTTGTGGAACCCCTTGAATGGGGACCAATTCCTGGGTTCATTCCCACATTTCCTACCTGTCGCACCAGCAAGTTGAAGATGTTCGGACGGAGATGGGGCTTCTGAGTTGTTTTTTGGGTGAGTGAATTGTTTGTTCTTGATGGAGGGCAATATCCTGGCGGGTTTTGCAAGCTTTGATCTTAGACATCCTTGATGTCCAGAAGTACAACCTGAGGGTTTCTCCACAGCGATGCTTATTTGTGCGTTAAAGACAGGATTGCACAATTGCGGAACGTATGCGGCTGGTTTCCTTTCGGTGTTCCAGAGGAAAATGGGGGTGCCTGGTTTGGAGTTGGTACCTCTTTTTTTTCCGTGGTTTTACAGAGAAGCCAAGAGGAACCATTGCTCCACTTTGTGGGGTCAAGATTGTTACATCCTAAATAAGGTCGAGCGACCCAAATTCGGGGTGGTGCTGTTGGTTCCGTGCTTTTCGTTTGGCGGTTTTTTGCGGTCTGTGAGGTGGGGAGGATGAGGCCTTCCGCGCACCTGAGCTGGTGGAGAATGCGGAAAGGTCCCATGCTACCGTGGGGCCCCCAGTTGGGCATAGCTTTGACCTTGCGACGTCGTTTTTTTTGCCAGCGAGCGACCTCATGTTCAGCCAATGAAACCGGAGATAGAGCAGCTTGCTGGTCGCCCCGACTTGTTTTTTGTTTTTCTTTTTCCCCCAGGCAGCGACCCCATGTTCAGCCAATGAAACCGGAGATAGAACAGCTTGCTGGTGCGACCTTCTCCCGACCTTTTTTCTTTCCACCAGGGAGCGACCCCATGTGGCAATGAAACCGGAGATAGAACAGCTTGCTGGTGCGACCTTCGCCCTGACTTTTTTTGTCCACCAGGGAGCGACCCCATGTTCAGCCAATGAAACCGGAGATAGAACAGCTTGCTGGTGCGACCTTCGCCCCGACTTGCTTTTTCCACCAGGGAGCGACCTCATGTTCAGCCAATGAAACCGGAGATAGAGCAGCTTGCTGGTCGCCCCGACTTGTTTTTTGTTTTTCTTTTTCCCCCAGGCAGCGACCCCATGTTCAGCCAATGAAACCGGAGATAGAACAGCTTGCTGGTGCGACCTTCTTTTCCCACCAGGGAGCGACCCCATGTGGCAATGAAACCAGAGATAGAACAGCTTGCTGGTGCGACCTTCTCCCCGACCTTTATTTTCCACAGGGAGCGACCCCATGAGTCAATGAAACCTGAAATAGAACAGCTTACTGGTGCAACCTTCGCCCTGATTTTTTTTTTCAGAGAGCGACCCCATGTTCAGCCAATGAAACCGGAGATAGAACAGCTTGCTGGTGCGACCTTCTCCCCGACCTTGTTTTTTCCACCAGGGAGCGAAGGGTCCCATATGCCAATGAAACCGGAGAAATGACCCATTTCGGGTGTTGGTTGAGTGAACCGGTTTTGGTGTTTCCCTTAAAGAGAGCCACAAGGCATGGTTTCTGGGGGGTCATTCCAACTCATCTGCTGCGCACCAGCGAGTTTCAGAAACCGGGTAGTGGATGGGGGAAGCCTTGGGCCCAAAGAGCAGAACAAACATTTCCGCGTGGTTCCCTGCCGTCCGGTTCCGCAGGTTCTGAGCTTTTAGTTGGTTTGGTGGTAGTTTGCACTCGGCCCCCAAAACCTTAGAGTTTTTAGCAGATCTGAGGGCCGCAGGTTGGAGGCTGAGAGCTATCTTTATTGGTTTGACTTTGCTTCTGGTTTTCGTTACTTCCTCACTCATCGACACCGCCTCGGTGCTCCTAACTATATTTGCTTTATGGACGTTTCGCCTCTGCAACATGCTGTCTGCATATTGGTTGACTCATGATATTTACATCCTATTCATGAAGACCCCGGTCTTTGTCTTATGCGCACGTTATCCTATCTTCTCTTCTCCGAAACATGGCGCAAGACGGTTTCCTGCTTTCCCTCTTCAGACCCGAAGTTGACTTGAAGCACCTAGGTCAGGGAAACCAACTAGCAGGGATACAGGGGGAACCAGGGATACGGGAATCCGGATTCCCCCGTTTGATGCACCTTGACTAAGTTTGATATGGGAAATGGCACCAAGTTGGAATCCCCCCATATCCCCGCTCCCTCCGTGTTTCCTCTTGTTTGTCCAACTAGGACCTCTTCTCCTGCGGCGTCATCGGCTATGCCTTGGCCATGGGCCGCTACCCCTGGCGTCTTGGTCCGAAAACTTGACCTGCGGTTCGGTCAAAACCTGCCAGCAGTCTAAACCTAGGTCCCCCCAAAGAAGACATATATGACAGTGAAGCCTAAACAAGGGCTTCTTTACCCCTGATGTGCTCTGTAATTTTGGCTTAAGGGGTGTGTTCCAGGGGTCTGGTGATACAACCTTTGAATGGCTACATGGGATGTGTCCAACCTAGGGACCATTTTTTGAACGCTGTGAAAGTAGGCAACCTGCTGGCCGTTGGGAAGGGTTGCGAGCAAAGAAAGAAGTTGGCTCAGACGCAGCGTCGAATGCTCATGGCAACTGCTTAGGCTTTGAAAGGCCTGAGTCAAAAGGCTTATCAAAGACATCCTCATGGAGAAGCGCTTTTATTCATAGCGCACAGGGTCCCTTCGCATGTCTTTTCTAAAACCCTGCTTCATGACGTGTCAGGAGTCACGTTCGAAGGGCGTTTTACGGATCCTTGGGCGATTTCTCGAGTGTTTTGGGCCGCACATGATGAGCCCTAAGAGTCACCCTGTTCAGCGCTTCGTTCCCGAAACCCCACGTTTTCCACCTGGCGCAGCGGCTTGCCGCAAGTGCGTGCTCCAATTCAGATGGCTGCTATGGCTGCTCCAAAAAGCCGGTGCCCAAAACGGCTTACCGTGGGAAGTGGAAACATGGACCAAAACCTGCGGGTTTGCTCCTGTTGAATTTGAGGGACACACCCAGCTGAACGTTGGAAGAGCTTCTCAGTTGCGAGGCTTGAAGTTCCCTGAATGGCGTGGAAAAAACATTGTGGGGACCCCCTTGATCAAAAGGTCCGAAAAACTTGAGATGCCCATTGGTGAGAGAAAACCAGCAAAATATTTGGCATGTCCAAAAACAAATCCCATGATCCTTTGGCTTATTCCCTAAATGGAATATTGATCAACCCCCAGGTACTCCTGTGGCTTGTTCAAAGTGTTGTTGTTTCGTTCAACATGGACTAGGTCTCCCAGTAGTGCCCTTTTGTCCTTTTTTGGAGAGGGTCCCCCTGCTAAAATAGACTACAGACAAAAATCGGGCACCCTTATTTTAACCTCTCAAATCTGGAGGACCTAGTGGATGGCCCTGAAGACGACAAGACGATTCGATTCCCCGCTTTGCAAAAGTTTGACGCTGAGGTTCAGCAGCGTGCCAGAAGCTCGGAGTTCTGGTGACTCCGTGAGGCGTGAGGCACTTCTGCACGTCCCATACAGCTCCCTTTAAAAGTCCTGTTTTCCATAAAGTTCGGTGGGAATGACCTGGGGAAACCACAGAAGTGGTTCTGAAGACTGCTCAACCTTGGCCCGCGTGAGATTTTTTTGTCAAGCTCGGAGGGCATTTTCGGGGGAAGGGAAACCCAAGCAAGAAGGTTCGCAGACGGCCCCAAGCTCCACACAAACCCAAACCTTTCCTACGTTCCATTCCCCAAGAAACCCCGCCCCAACCCCCCAACCCACCCACCAACCCACCCTCCAACCCCCAACCCCCCCCCACCCCCCCAACCAACCCCCCCAACCCACCCACCCACCCACCAACCCACCCCCCACCCCCAACCCCACCAACCCCACAACCCACCCCCCCAACCCCCCAGCCCGTGATCCCAACGGTCAGACGTTTCTTCCGGTCGGAATGAAACTCGGCTTCGCTTCGCGAAGCGGAGCGGGTCCCGAGTGAGGCCGGGGAAGTGCAAGGCCTTCGGCTTCGCAAGGGCCGAGGGCATCCAGCGGTTCCTGGCCGACCCCCGCTGCGGGGCCTCAAAGGAGTCGTTGGGGTGGAGGGGGGGGGTAGGGTGGAGAGGGGGGGGTTGGTTTGGGCTTGGCTGGGGTTTGGGGCTTGGTTGGGGGTTGGGGTTTGGTTGGTTGGCTTGGTGGTTGGGAGGGTCGGGGGGGTTGAGGATGCTGGATTGGAAATGGAGGCTCCCCGAAAGGAAACTGAGAGCTTAGAATTTGGGAGAAATGAACCTTGACTTCATGAATTCCCCGGGCACTGGCAGCCAGCCGTCTGAGCAAAGTATGCACCCACCCGCCTGCGTTGATACCGTTTCGTGTTCGGCGTTGGTGGCCTGAAGATGGCTTTGTTCGTCCAAATCCCTATTTTCACCCACGCGCACACACATTTTTACCCACGCACACACACACACGGACACACACGGACACACACGGACACACACGGACACACACGGACACACACGGACACACACGGACACGCACGGACACACACGGACACACACAGACACACACACACAGACACACACACACACACAGACACACACACAGACACACACAGACACACATACACACACAGACACATACACACATACACACATACACACATACACACATACACACACACACATACATACACATACACACACACATACACACACACATACACACATACATGCATACACACATACACACATACACACATACACGCATACACGCATACACACATACACACATACACACACATACACGCATACACACATACACACTTACACACTTACACACTTACACACTTACACACATACACACATACACACACACACATACGCACACACACACACACATACACACACACACATACACACATACACACATACACACATACACACATACACACATACACACATACACGCATACACGCATACACGCATACACACATACACGCATACACACATACACACATACACACGTACACACATACACACATACACACATACACACTTACACACATACACAAATACACACATACACACTTACACACTTACACACATACACACATACACACATACACACATGCACACATACACACATACACACATACACACATACACGCATACACACATACACACATACACACATACACACATACACACACAGACACACAGACACACAGACACACATACGCACATACACGCATACACGCATACACACATACACACATACACGCATACACGCATACACGCATACACACATACACGCATACACACATACACACATACACACGTACACACATACACACATACACACATACACACTTACACACATACACAAATACACACATACACACTACACACATACACACATACACACATACACACATACACGCATACTCACACACAGACACACATGCACACACACACACACACATAAACACATACACACATACACACATACACACATACACACAAACACACATACACACATACACACATACACACAAACACACAAACACACAAACACAGAAACACACAAACACACAAACACACAAACACACACATTCACACACATTTACACACACACACACGCACGCACGCACGCACGCACGCACGCACGCACACACACACGCACACACGCACACACGCACGCCCACGCACACGCACACGCACACGCACACGCACGTGCACACGCGCGCACGTTCGCACGCGCACACGCGCACACGCGCACACGCGCACACGCGCACAGGCGCGCACGCGCGCACGCGCCCACGCGCCCACGCGCACACGCACACACGCACACACGCACACACGCACACACGCACACACGCACACACGCACACACGCACACACCCACACACGCACACACGCACACTCGCACACTCGCAGACACGCACACACGCACACACACACACACACACACACATTACACACGCACACACGCACACTCGCACACTCGCAGACACGCACACACGCACACACACACACACCACACACACACACACGTTGCTTGTTTGCTTTGGCCACCAGGAGGGCCGCATGTCTGCAGAGTACAAGGCAGGAGATTTTGCTCGCGTTTGGGCCGGCCCTTGGTGGGACTGCCAGGTGTGCTGAATCAAGACGTTGCTTGTGTTGCCTGGACTTCAGATCATTACCTTCCTTACTTCGTGGTTCCCAGCCGCCCGTTCCGTGGGCAATTTGGCTTTTTAGTTCGTTTAGTGGAAGTTTCCAGGAAGCCACTAAAAAGTTGTTCGCTTTTAGCAGGGGATCTGAGGGCAGGTGAGATTTTGAGGTACAGTGATACAGTACTGTTTGCTATCTCTGTTACCCAGTGGTGACCTTTTTTAATTTTTTCTGGGTAAGGGTGGTACCTTTTTTTTCCCCATGGCCACTGGGCATTTGATCCATTGCCAAGGGGCAAGTCACCCAGCCCCAATTGGTGACCGACTGTTGAGCTTAAAAAAACGCGCGTCGGGGAGCACGGCGCTCACTTGTGGGCCTGTCAACCGTGACGGGTGGAGCCACCCTTTACAGCCGACACATGATGCTGGAACCTACGGAGCTGTGTGTGTGTCTTCGCGGGTTGGCGGCGGGTCGGCTTGGCCTGGCCTGTGAGCTTGTGCTTGTTTTTGTAGACATCATGAAAACTGGCATGGGAGAAGGTTCTTAGCTCCTACCCCGCAAAAAGACAAGCCCAGATGTTCATTCAGCATTGAGCAAGCTTCCCTTTTTGTCTTTGGGATAGCTATCATCCCGGCAGATCTCGGGCAAAGGCAATGGATTGTGAAGGGCAAATATGGCCAGCAGCCATATTGGCGGGGGTCGTTTTTTACTGAAACCCCTAAAAAGGGTTGAACATTTACAGGGAAACCAAAGGGAAGGAGCGCTTCACCTATTTTGGGTGTTGAACAGTGCGCGGATCGCTATTGCATGGCCACACCTTGCCGCACTGAAAGACATCCGGAGGCCAAGGTCCCGCTCAAGCGTTTGATCCGGTCAGTTCATGGTTGTCGTTGGGTTTTTTTTACATGTTTGCTCATTGTGGTTTAGTAAACAAGTCCCCACTTAACTGCTAAAATTAAATGTTTGCTCCCTTGCCAACGTCAACCAAGAGTTGCACCCAGGCCGCAAAACAAAAGGGGCTAGCAGCGATGTGTTGCATAGATGTGGCATTCCGGATAGTCTTAAAGCTCCATGGGATTTTGCAAAGGAAAGTATCAAAGGGTATTAGAAGTGATTGCCCAGAAATCTCGCGTGCTGCGGATCCGCCTTTTCAAGCCTGGCCGTTTTTTTGTTCCCCCTTTTTTTTAAACGAAGGCGCGCATTTGTTTCGCGTGTTCTTCCGAGACCTACACGGCCCAAATCTCTTCGGCTGACGGATCAGGAAATCCTGAGCTGCCTATTGGACATGGACCCAAGCAGCCTGGCGCATTGGAGCTTCTGGGAGCCCACCGTGGACCTCCAAAGCTTTGGTCCGGGAGCATGTTTTTTATTCATCTTCTTTTTGTTTTTCTTTTTGTTTATTTTTCTGTTCATTGTTTTTCATTTTCCCCAACAGCTGAAAGCTTTGGGGTCTCAGCCCAGATAGGCTCCGGGGTGGTCCGGGGCGGCCCTGAGGTAAGGTTCCACCAGGGTTCCACCAGGGTTCCACGAGAGTTGCATGAGGTTCTGCGAGGGCACCGCATGCTGTTGGGGATGTCACCTGAATCCGAAGACATGATTTTGTTGGTCTTGATAGCGTCATGTTTCTTTTTTTTCTTCTTCTGCTGTTGGCCAAGTACAGACTCTGTGATGGCTCCTTTCCGTCCATCCAGAACAGTGTCCTTTGTGCCCTCAAGAGCCATGCAGTCCTTGCTTGTCATGCATACATGTATTCATGAGAACATGCGATCTTGTTCGCATGTCATTCTTGTAGATGTGTATGAGTATGTGCATGTGCATTTGTGCATAGGTGCATTTAATGTGTGCGTTTATGTGCATGTGTGGTATATGTACACAAAGATTCGTTGCATGTAGCTTCCGGAGCGCCAACAACAGGAGCTTGTTGACGCAGCACACGACTGCACCATATCTCACGCTGCTCACCCCTACAGTTGGGTGAACGTAGGCGCCGCAATTGATTTATATAGTCCCGTCTGACCTAAGAATAGGAGGAATTGCTTCCATCTACTTTTACGCGTGACAGCAAACGCCACAGTTCTGAGATGGTCAAGGCATTCCCCTGCATCATCTTCAGTCGTGATCATGTCGAGCCATTGGCTCAACCCAACAGTCAGTGAGTAGATCTCACTGGGGCATTTTGCCTGCACGCTCATAGCGCCCTAGGTGCCTGTTGGAAATCGAAAAGCTGTGCTTTTGAGTGCCCAACTGCTTGGTTTTCGCATGGGGCCCTGTGGACATCTAGGAGAGTCATGTCCACCGACCACTTCTGAGGTGCTTCCGACTCGGGTTCCGAGCTCGCGCCCTTTCACCCAGGCCGCCGTCAGCAGAAGTCTATGTCCATGACAGCATCCTTGCTGGAGCCCCGGGGTTCCGGGATCCGTTCGATCCGTGGTCACCTGAAACCCGAAAGGAGAAGGCTACGGGGCCCAGCCCTTCTCGAAGCACGGTTTCGGGTCTCGATGTTTGACTCGTAACCATGGAACAACGGATAGGACTCCTGAGTCCGCATGCATCCTGCAGCCTCCATTGCTACCTTAATTTTTGCTACGAACTATTTTTGCTCGTGACACGTTCTTCTCAACAAAAAGGCTCGTTTTAACAGAAAGTGCTCGAGACATCCGCGCAAATGCAATTCGCTACCTGAGATTCGTAGCATTTTTTGAATTTGCGCTCGTTTGAGCTTGCACTTCACAAGTTGGCTCCACGACTTTTGCGGGCACGACTTCTCACTCGCGGCTCAGAGCCGCAGTGGAGCCGTCTTGGCTCACTAGCAAGCGAGTCAGGTCGCGGTCGACCATTTTGAGCAGCGTCACTCGACTCGAGCGTGGGCCTCACTGCTTGTGACGAGAGGCGAGCTGGGCGTCGGGTACCCGGGGCTCGGGGCATCGGCCTCTGATGGACGAATTCGTGCAGCGTCTAAGAGCCCCTGGAAGGATGATTCCCCTGTAAATGCCAACAAACAATAGTCTCCCATGGTTTCAAATCAACATTTCTACTGTAGTTGTATTGAAATCTGCCTGTCAATTGCAGCTTTGACATGGAAATCCAGTGACCCTAGAGCTTGCAAGCAAGCTCTGATTTTCTGCCTCTATGAGCCACAAACAACTTGCAGAGTATCAGTGGGTCCAGCGGGCCATGATTGCATAGCTTGGGATGCCTTGATGGACTTTTGTGGACATGAACTCCGCGCCCATGAGCCATGGTCCCGTGAAACAATCGTGCAACTCGTCCAGACACAGCGCAGCTCCAGAGTTTCCGCGAAAGCAACTCGAACCAGCCCACATCCCGGCCAGCAGAACTGTGCAACTTCAATGTGAAAAAAGCTGAGCCCAGAGTTGCAGCCAAGATGTATATGGGTATGGCTCGGGGTTGCGCGGGTTTTAGTCTTTGGTTCCACTTACCGTTCCATGTTGGAATTCCGGTTTTTGGAGCCACTGCCATATTGGACAGACACGCAAGACCGCTCGGCCCCGACTTTTCGCCCGCAGAAACTCCCGGAAAGTCCCCGGTCGTTTCAAGCAAGAAACACGGGAGCCTGCTTTGCCTCGTTCTCTTGACCGAAGTCGTTGGCTTTCGGCAGCTTCAAGTTGCAGGTAGCTTTCGGGAAAGTTCACCGGAGGTTTGACACATCTCACTCTTCGAACTGGGTAGCTCGTGCGGCCAGGAGAAGGAATGCCCCTTTCTGCGGCGAACGTCCGCTCGCCCTGGGGGGAATTGTAGAAATGGCAGAGGGCGAATCACGAGCAAGTCGGAGTATGGTTTTTCCCAAGACCAACAGTCTTGGCAATTCAAGCTAGTAGCATGTCACTTCGCACATGGACAGTTTCCCCTGGTCCTCAACATTGACTTTGGAGAGCGAGGCATGCGCAGATATCAGTAATTAGCACTACTGCAACCCCGTGCACTTCCATCAGTTTTTTAATAACGCAAGACAAGAGATCTTCCGTCTTGAGTGACCATTCAGCTTGCATGTTCTCGAACACGGCGCCATGACCTTGTCAAGTAACTGTTTCACCAGAGTGGTCATGCGAAAACACCTGGCTGAGTGGTCCTATGACTTTGGGACATTTGCTGAGAGGTCTGTAAGAACGAAAACGGCAAAGTCGCCTGGAATACGATCGGCTTTTCTTAGGCTCGGCTCACCGCACCTGGATTTCCTATGGTTGTTATTTAGGGGCCGGCCCCCCAATATCAATAATCCGTTCCCCCTATTAAAGGTCTCCCTAATAATCAACATGTGTTTCGGAAGTCCCGAACGGGAATACTACTTTTAGAATAGGCAATATGTCAACCAATTCTAAAGTAGGCATTTTCCTGCCGTACTCAAATCCAGCCCAATTAGGGCGACCCGGGAGTACGTTTCCTTTTCTACGGTCGTACTACAAAGTTGCGACTTTGGAGCCGGAGCTCCGGGAGTACGTTTCCTTTTCTACGGTCGTACCACGAAGTTGCGAGTTTCGAGCCGCAGCTCCGGTCGCACTACGGTCTCTCTATCTCTTTCTCTCTCTCTCCCTCTCTCCCTCTCCCTCTCTCCCTCTCCCTCTCTCCCACTCCACACAGGTGCCTTTGAGTGATCCAAACCCACGTCGAAAAATCAAAAACATGACCTCAGCTCCCGACACGTATATTCCTTACTCGGAAATGTACGCTTGATGCGATTTTCCGGGCCGGAACAGGGCGAACGCAAGGTTACAAAGAACAAGAGGTACCTGCAAAACCTGCCCTCCAGAGCCAGGGGACCGCTAGTAACAAAAGCTGTTTTGCTGGCAAGGATTTTAGTGCGGGGGGGGGGGGCGTTTTATTATTAGAGGGGAGAGGATTAGGGCTAGCGACGAAGTGGGGGCAAATAGTGTCTTTCGGTGCCTTCTGTGCGTTTGTTTTGGGGGTCCCTTTGTTGGTGGGCCTGACAACCATGCGAAGATTCGTCTTTGCCTGAGGCACCCAACGTGCCCTTTTTTTTGGGTACGAGAAAATAACGCTCGAATTACCGATGTTCTGCTCGAAAAACGCTCGACCACATCCCCTTCTTCCATCCAGAGGAAGGCGGGAGGGATTGTTACGTTTTTTTTTTTTTTTGCACTCGTTTGCAGATACTTGCGCTTGTTTTGCGGATATTTGCGCTCGTTTTGCACTTCGATTTCTGCTCGCTCCTTTTGAATATTCAGCGACCGATCATCTTGGAGGACCGACCAGCCCGGTTTTGGGAAAAACGCTCGAAGCAGGACACAGTGAACGTTTACCATATTTTGGTGACGACCCCTGGTTTTGCAATACGTTTGGGCTAAGGGCAGAAATTTATGTAACGAAGGGTGCTCCAGATGGTGATAATCAACTACAAGCCTAGTAGAATTCCGATTCAAGCTTCGAATTCAACTAGGATCCACCAACCTCTCAGAAGCATGCGGTTGAGACAGACATGACTCCCTAAAGTTCCTTCCTCTTTTCAGGCAAAACACTGTGTCTTGGGTGAAACGCCCTTTGCGATTTCGCGCGCCAAGATTTCTAGTTGGCAACGCTGCACAGGGCTGCATAGCGACTGCCGCTACGGGTACGGCCTTGACCCTTTGTTTTGCAAGTGGCAAGCGCATGGGGGCTGTAGGCAAGCATACTCGAGCCCAGGGGCGATGATTTGTTTTTGTCGAACTCATTGCTCTTTTCAGAGCGGCTTGTGTTTCTTCGTGTACATGTTCCTATGGATTCTTGTGCATTGCCATTTTCGAGAAGGACACGCGTTCACCATTGCCTCTTGCCAACCACTTGGCCCCTGTGAGTGTATACCAGGCCGACGGCAGCTTTGTTGTGTTTGTTTACTTGGGCAAACAAGGAGCACACCTTGCGCGACCAGTCGCAGCAACATGCAGAGGTCCCTCCGGGTACTTTCTTCACTGCGGTGGGCCATCAAATTGTTAGACATTGAACTTGGCTGGCCAGCTCAAGGCTTGTTTTTGTTGCGAGGATGATTGAAGTGCACCCTTCACGTTTCTGGAATGCCTACCTGCCTGGTGTTTTTTGATGGGTCAAGGCTGTATCCGAGCATTGCTTTGTTCTGCAGAGCACATGCTACGTTACCCGGTTTCCTCAGAGCTGAGATTTGCGCATTGCCCACAAGCTGCTGATTGGGTGTGGCTGCTTAAGTGTATAAAGTTTCCCTTTTGACTCACGAAGCTTCCTCCAAAGCCTAAAACGAAGCATAGAAGACAAACATAACAACACAAACAAACAAACAAACAAAAAAGCAAACAAGCAAACACACAAACAAACAAACAAACAAACAAACAAGCAAACAAACAAACACACACACACATATAGAGTCACGCAGAGTCACGCAGAGTCACGCAGAGACACACACACACACACATACACATGCGGACACAGAGGGACAGCGACACACAGAGACAAGCAGATAAGCACAGACACAGCACACACACACACACACAGAGGGATACACAGAGACAAAGACGCACGCAGACACGCAGACGCAGAGACATGCAGACACAGACACAAAGACCCACAGACACACACACTGCCACTGCCACACCGACGCACGTATGTTGCAGACACAGACACACGCACATACGCATATACACACAGATGCACAGACACACATTTTTATTATGGGCCGTTCTAAACTATCACGTTGTAAATGTGGAAGCGTCTAACGTGAAGGACAAACCTGCATTGCGAAGGATGGCGATTGGAGAGCGAAGCGGCAAAGACAAGGAATTACAAGAAGTAGAACGTTTGATCTGTGAAAGGCTGACTGAGGGCCGGGAAAGGAGGGGGAAACGCCGGCAAAATGCCGCAGAAAGAGAAATTTCTAGTCACCTTGATTTTGAACAACCCCCAGATATGTATATGCAGAAGCACCACACTCGCAGAGAGACAGCGGGGCAGAGATGTATAGGCTCAGAGATACACAGTCACAATCGAACAATCAGACACGCCCCACCAACACACACAGAGAGACGCACACACACACAGACATGCGCACAGAAGTGCAGACACACGCATATGGAGATGCGCACAGACATTCACACGCACAAACACAAAAAGGCACAGAGACACACAGAGACACACAGAGATACACATAGACACACAGAGACCCACGGAGACACACAGAGACATTGAGAGAAACACAGAGACACACAGAGACACACAGAGACACACAGAGACACACAGAGACACACAGACGCAGTCACCGACACAGACACAGAAATGCGGAGAGACCCACGGCTACACAGGCACGCAGACACACAGACATGCAGAGACGCAGACACGCAAAGACAAACAAAGACGCACAGGCACACTGAGGTACAAAGACGCTGGCACTCACAGACACACAGAGACGCACACACACGCGTGTGCACGCGCGGGCACACGCAGACACAGACACACACACACACACACACACCCACCCACCCACCCACCCACGCACGCACGCACGCACGCACGCACAGACACGCACAGACACGCACAGACACGCACAGACACGCACAGACACGCACAGACACACACACACACACTCACACACACACACACACACACACACACACACACACACACACGCACGCACGCACGCACGCACGCACGCACGCACGCACGCACGCACGCGCGCGCGCACGCGCACGCGCACACGCACACGCGCACGCGCACGCGCACGCGCGCACGCACACGCACGCACACACACACACACACACACACACACACACACACACACACACACACACACACACACACACACACACACACACACACACACACACACACACACACACACACACACACACGCACACGCACGCACGCACGCACGCACGCACGCACGCACACACGCACGCACGCACGCA